GAGGAGCCAACTGTCTACACAAGCTAAGATCTCCCCCTGTGGTGTAGGGGTGGGAAAGGAGAGAAATGCCAGTGGGCCAGCTATGTGCTCAATAAAGGTGACAAAAGACTTGAGGCTTTTGAGGAAGTAAGTTATGTTAGCTTGGGCACAAACATAGCAGAAGATCTATCGCTTCTCTTTGATTTGACATGTTGCAGCAGGGACTCCTAAGACCTGCTACTTGAGTGGTAGCAAGCTAAATACAAAGAGATATAAAGCCATCAGGGCGAAACTGGGCTCTCTGGTTGAGAGTCCAGGCTTTTAGTAAGCTGGGCTCCACCTCTTTTGATCACATGGCCTTCTTCTTGGTCAGGGGTTTCTAATTATCCCAGCACTCAGCCTGCTTTCATGCTGCAGCTTAAATCTGACCTGCAGCCACTGCCCTCTCCCCTGCTGCTCTTTCACTCTTTGTACCTGGTTTGCCACCTCTCATCTAGCAGGGGTTAAGGATTCCTGCTACACATATTAATTGTTTCAGTTGTTTCAGTCACAATGCTATATATGGAATAACAGTAAGAAGAAGGGAGGAAGACACTTTGAATTAAAGACCACAAACGTATAGGCTTATTTTCAGAGAAAAAAATACACTCACAATTCTTACTGAAATTGTTGTCCAGATACAGGGGTTTGATTTTAACTTATTTTTATATTGAGTTAGGACTCAAAATATCTAGACTGTCATGGTGACATTCTGTAGTCCTGAAATTCAGGATGACACACTTGTGTTGCACTTCCACCTGTGTTTCACTAGGTGTACTCCAGAACTTTGGATATTAAGAGTATTTATTTAATAGCTAGAGCAGCATAATCAGTAAGAAGTATTTCAGAAGAGAATTATTCCTCTTGATGTACCTCTTCAGTGAAGATCTTGCAATGGGAGAGAGAAATGAAAAATTTATGTACCATATTTACTCAAATATAAGATGGCCCTGATTATAAGATGCCCCCCTGTAATTAGATAACATATATGGGAAATTTATAAATTTGATATGATTTCCCAGGCATATGATCTAATTAGTGGAGGTTTGTCTTGAATGTGTCCTCCCTCCTACTGCTACAACAGGGCAAATAAATCTGGGGGGTCAGCTGGCCTTTTCCCCTCTATCCCCCCAGCTTTTTTCTGCTGCAGCCCCTTATTGATAGGCCTTTTCCTCCCTACACTCAAATAAGTGAGAAACAAATCTGAAAAAAAAGACCCTGAAAAAAACATAGCTGTAGTAATTTGCATATAGTACCCATAGACTTTGTTCATCCAAAATTGATGCATATTACTTATTTTGGAAACTACTGTAAATTTTACTACTGGTACTCCATAAACACACTTTTAAGCAGAACTTTTGCACATATTTATACATAATACAAAGTATTTTTTAGGAAAATTTTTGGGTCCTAAATCAAATCAACCAAATCGATTTCAAATCCATGTGAATCCAACTTGGTCCAACTTCACCTCATGGAGGGCAGGGCACAATCATATGCAACAGGATGAAAGAGGGGCCAACAGAGGGATTCTGGGTGAACTGTTTGAGGCTCCATTTGGTGATGTTTGCCAGACATTTAAGACTGGTGAAGAAACAGGAATAGTTGGAAATGGGAAAGAGGCACAGCTCATCTGCGGGAGTGAATAAGAAGTCAGAATATACTCAATGTAGTGGATCACCATGACTTGAAAAAGTCAGTGCTGAGGTGAACTGCGCTCAGCGGGCACTACCATATATCTTATTAAGATAAGTTGTACCAACCTATCTTTGTGGTAGGCTTTGTAGCATTTTTGGCACCAATGGAAGAGTGTTTGGGCTTGCTCCTATCTTTCCGGTGCCAGCCTGGAATTGCAGTATCTCCAGGCCGAGGTCCCATTCCTTCCTGGTGGAGCAACTGCCCATTTTTTTTAAGGGCCACACATAAAAAAAAAGGTGCCTATTTATATATTTGCCCAATATAAGGCAAAATTTATAGTCATGCTCAGTGTTGGCTGCATTTAATCAACTTCATAATTGGTCTCCATTGTGCTGCTTTTAGCAGCCAAAGATAGGCACAGTATTTAATGTGGTTTCTTTGTATACGAATGTAAGATGAAAGAAAAAACCTTGTCTTGTATTTGAGTAAATATGGTATATTTATATATGCATATGGATGGTGGGAGAGTATGAGAAAGACCATGTGTACACACATGCACATAGTATTTCAATTATGTGAAATTGCCAAGGATGTGAACATTAAAAGTCTACAGAACTGAGAAATATCATTCTTAGCTTATGAGATAATTCCATTTAAGCCAGAAAGCTTAAGAAATGAAGTTTTTAAGAACACCTAATAGTAACTTTAAAATTTTCTAGGGAGATACTCTCTTCATGACGTTTTTGATCTCAGCATTTTGGCTCAGATATGGGTTTGTGTGTATCTATCTTCTTTCTCTCTCAGCATTGTGAACCCCCTCCCTTCCCTTCCCCTCCCGCTGCCCCTGGGCTTAGTTGGCTAACATTGTATTTTCTATAACCTAGTTGCACTCCCCTCTTAACCCCCATCCCTCTAATGTTAGTCCCTTGCTCGGGTGATTTGTATTTCCCTACTAGCTTTGTCATCTTTTTGGATTCATAATCCTAAACATCTACTAATAAAATTCAACCTGTTCTACATGGGAAAGGTCTCAGGTGGTATACACCATCGCTTCAATTTACCTATAATAATTTAATTAGTAGATGACCTGCCCTACGAACATTTGGACTGAAAGGACTTCTAATATGTTCCTGTACTCCTTATTGGAACACTATATTAACTTTCTTTGAATGTCTGTTGAAGATATCTCAGGGATATCTTGTGGTAGATCCTTCATAAAACAATTTATCTTATTGTTACGTGTCCTTGGCATGATAGTCTTAAGCATCGGAAGAGATCTCCTTGTAAAATAGTTGTGATCGCCATAACTAAGTCAATCCCTTCATTTGTATCTTTCCTTATAATATCATATTTCTGTATCCCTCTTATGTTTTTGATACCATAACAACAATTTCTGTAACTTTGTCCTATGCACATTCCAAATGTGTTATACATATATGTTTTCTTTGTTTTGTGGCTGTTTTATTTTCACAGTGATATTCCCAAAAACATGCTCAGAACTCCAGATAAGGCTGCACTGATGATATGAGTATTACTACCTGTCACTAATATTACACGAAGGATCTCTGCAGTGGAAGGCATAACAAAATAATCAGCCCTTACCATTCACAGCAGTTAAATTTACCGTGGTATTTGTGGTTTTTTTCCATTTTAAGTATAGAGAACACCACAAATACCATGATAAAGTCAAATTCCACAGTGTGGTAAATGTTCTTTTTTTTTCTAATGCCACTCAGCATATTACATAACATATCCATGCATAACATTACCCATTTCTGTTGCAGCTTCATGTTGCAAACTCATGTTTGCTAGTCATGGTTACATCTAAACCACAACATTATACGTCATATTGGGCCTGATACCGAAAGACACCACATTTTATCAATTGTTGTCAGTATGTTCAAGAGACCTCTGGTAGAGGGCCACACCCTATACTACAGAGGAAGGGGAAAACTCCCACAGTCCATACCAATCTGATCATGGTGTAAAATTCCTTCCTGGCCCCAAATATGGCAGTGCGACCCTGAGCAGAGTGTTGAAACTCTCTAACTTGGAAGCTCTGGCTTTGCTCCTAACAGGAGAATTGGTACCCCCAGTTGAAGTTCCCAGCCTTGATTTTAGCCAACACCCAATGCCTCTGGTAAGACTTAAAAACACTCTGATACATTTAGCAGAAACAAAAGGGTGGATGGGTAAAGGGGGAGCAACCAGCAAAGCCCAGAAGCATGGGAAATAGATGTCCTAGAACCTGGAACTCTCTCTCCTTGGACAAGTGCTCTAACCACTAGGTTGGTAGATTAAAACAGAAGCATTCCTAATCTTTTGGTGCCAAGCACAATCTGGACAACATGGGATTTTGTCCAGGTACAATTTCAGGACTTGCCCAGGTATATAAAGATGTATCTAGGAGAACATGTCGCACCATAAAGTTGCCTGACCATATGGAACCCTACTGAGCACACTCAGTGGGCACGTGGATGCTTGCATGCCAGCAGCTGAATGTAATCTGCATAACTGCTATTGAGGTGCAGCCAGTGAAATAGGATTCTGCCCTGAGTTTCTCTTACTAACACGGGAGGACCCTGTATACAATATTTCTAACATTTGTGGCTAGCCTACTTATAAATGTCTCTAAGAATACAAAGCCTTGGGTTCCATTGGGAGTCTATTCTGTAGTTTTCCAAAGTTTACATCTAGAAAGATTTCCTGAACTTCAGTGTGCATTTTCTTTGGCTTAATTTTAACCTATTATTCTCCTGGTACTATGCTTAATAATTTATCTTCCTTCATGTTTGGACTCTTTATTGCTGACATTCCCTGTAACAATGGCACCAGCTCACAATACTGCCTTAAAGAGAGAAGTTACCCACAAGAACAGAGAGAACCCCAAAATGTGCCAATCCCTTAACAACTATGTAAAGCCTTCAAAGCCAAAGCCCTTTTCAACTTTAATCTTGGAAGTGCTATCAAGCAAAAAACTTACATTAATGTTAATAAGAAACGGAAGAAATAAAAAGCATGTCGTATGGGTTTAGTCAAGCAACTCCTGTCACGTGATTCATTGTATGAATGTGACTGACCATACCAGGATAGGTCTTCTTTCTCATTCTATTAACCTTTTCATTAAACTGTTTTGAATAGAAACTCTATGATAATATGACTGGTAGAAAATACTTTACATCTAAGACTAAAGATTAGAAAGCCATGCCAGCCACTACTTCTACCTCTTTAGTTCTTTCACACTGAGAACAAAGTGAATCTAGTAGAACATCAGCTATAATAAAGGTATTGTATTTTTTATTTTACATACATAATCACAAAAAATACAAAAATGAGTAGCTGTGGAATACAAAAAGACTATTATTTTCATCAGATTGTGAAGCTTGTCTTGCATTTTCAAAGAGAAGATATTGGCAGTATTGTATCTATATTTTATTCTTTTCCAAAAAAGGAGAAAGTGTGTGACTCACATACGTAATGAAACAGAAAAGTCTGTATTTTAGGACTGACCATTTAAACACACAACTCTTTTTTCTGTCACAGAAAGAAAAGGAAAGCACCCCCTACTGGAGTCTTTAAAAAGCCTGGATGAACAACATACAGACATTAATTAATCACCTCTGTGCTGCTGAAGCTAAAGGTCAGTTCATCTTTTCCATTATATTCCTCTGTTCTCAGGGCTTGATAACTTGACAAAAATAGAAATAAAATAAAGTTCTTAGCTGCAACTTGGCATGTGCATATCTTAACCCAAGAACAAATTGTTTTATAATTACTTCTGAAAATCGCTTCAGACTGTTTTATTTTTCTGTGGCTGCCTGAGAAGTGTGAAAGAGAGAGACATTTTTTCATGCATTCAAGGCATTTTAGTTCTAATTTAGCAAAAATAAATAAATTAATAAATAAATAAACAGAATAAGCAGAGTCTGATGTTTCAAAGATGAAAGTTAGGAGACATGACTGGCTTCACACCTAGAGACTTCTATGCGATTAAGTCATATGAATAACTATTCACCAAAGCGAGTAAGAGATTCACAGCCTGGCCCATATTCAGTAATGAAAGCTGACATATGCAGGGTAGTGGGGGTTCATCTGAAAATCACTTGTTTCAGCATGTGGCTGGACTCTAGGGTTCAAACTTAAGAGCAGAGTTTGTTAGAATGAAGCAAATGTAATCAGTGTCTTCATGAAACTAGCTTATGAAGATGCTTGAATTAAGGAGGATCGCCGAGGAATATCACGAGTGGAAACTTATTGGCTATCATACCCTTCACACAGGATACTAAAAGACAGGGAAACACAGAGCAAATGAAGGAAAAGTTGTGGAAGATAGTTTTCCAGATTTTTTTTATTAGCCATTCTTACTACTTTCATTACTATACTGCATGTTAGAATCCTGTTGGACTTGTAGCTGCTGTCTGGAAGTTGGCAGCTTGTACTGAAGCCACTCTGCCTCTGCCCGCAGAGCCTTTGTTAACTGACAGAGGACAGAAGCTGCTGGCTGCCTTTGAAATGGATATGTTGGGTCAGTGGAAACAGTTGGGTGTTTTTGAATGGAACCTTATTTTTTCTTTTTTTTAAAAAAATAAAGTTGCGAAAAGTAGCTGCTGCTTCCTCTTCTTCTTCTTTAAATGCTTGCTTTAAAAAACACCCAACCCATTTGTGCTGACCTGATGAGTCAGTTTCAAAGACAATTTCAATCTTCTGTCAGCTAAAAAGGCTCTCCCAACAGAGGCAGAACTGAATCAATGCAGGCTTCTCTTTTCCTGATAACGGGAGCTTTCAGACAAAAGACTGACAGGTTTCTAAAATCTGTAATTTTTTAATATTGCAATCAAATGATCAAAAACAGTGGAGAAAACATCTCAAGAATATTTCAACTGTTTTCGTCCTCTCCTTTCATAGACAATAACAGAGTCATCTTGACATTTGTAGGTAGTCTTAGATGCTTGCCTAGTTCTAAATCTTTCCTTGCCATGTAGATTATTTGATTTTTATTAGATTATTTATCCAAAGCATTTTAAAGCAATAAATATAATCAGAGATTTAATTTAAAGAAATGGAAGCTTTTTCTTCTGAGAGATTGATGTTATTGTTTCAAACCAAAAAGAGAAGTGCAATAAGAGTTTTTGGTGGTCTATTCAAATCTAAATCTGGGGTAGCCAGATATATGTTTAAAAAGCACACAGAAGAACACGGGCAGTGATTCTACCAATAATGCCACCTATGAGTTACCTTTGGAAAGGGGATACTGCACCTATGAACTCAATACACTAGGTATATTTTAATCCATAAAATTTCCAATTACTGCTTCAGAGTTTATTGTGCACATATGGAAAATAATACTTGTAAAAGAGAAAGGGGTTTGTGCCTGGTGCTGTCAATACTGTGAAGGATGGGGTGATTATAAAGCAAATTAACAATACTTTTAAATGTGCATTCACTTATCTTTCCAATTAAATCCTTGTTAAACAACTGCACAGACAGTAATGGTGCTTCTGCAAAGCACTGATCAAGACAGTTTTATTGTAATTTTTACTCTGTAACAATTAATCAAGTAGGCATTTTCTTTATTATTAAATTATTTAGTTAATAAATATTCTCAATTGGCTAACATATTTGTAGTTTACATGTTATTTTTGATTTTTTTTAAAATAGAACTCGAATATCACTATTTTCTTACAGCATGATAAGAGAAGAAATATCCTAATTTCTCTTGCCAATATATTATTTGTTAACTTGAGAAGGTAGTTGGCTTGGTAATAAATATACCTTTCCCACGCCTAATGTAGTACAGTGTACCAACTGAAATTATGTTGGTATTCCTTTTACCATAAAATCCACTTTTTTGCAATTATGTCATATCTAGCCCCTGTAAAAACTCATTTTCTCCCTACGAAGTGTACCTAGGCAGTAAAAATGCAGTAATTGACCTTTGTAAGTTGTGTTTTGAAGTTAATGCACAGGGTACTCCAAATAAAAATAACAGGACTCAAAGGTCATCTGCACTGCAAATACCAAACATTTTGAAAAAAAAAAAATACTAGCTATAAAGACAGTTAGGAGCTATCTTGTTTTATGTATGATCAACATTACTACACGAAACAAATTGTATGCCTTGATTAGTTTCACTGAATATATAAGCATTAAGATACAATTTTAGAGATTCAGCAATGTATTATTCTCCCTTTATATATGTATTTTTTCTATTAATTCAATGCTCATGAAAACTGCTCAACAGTCCCAGAAAAGGAATGCCTTTCTAGGTACAAAACAGATACCTGTGTAAAAAGATATGCTTTTCTCCATCTTTTCACCAATGGATGCCATCTTTTTCTTAGGAGGATAATTCAGGCCTTTCCTATACCAAGAAATTAGTGCTCAGCAAGCTGCAGCATGAATTTACAGCACTCTATTTCTTATGTAGTTGCTCTTAGTGAGCACTGGGTGCATCTACACAAGACACTGACTGCTCAGTAGAAAAATACTGCACACAAGCATGTCACAGCACAGACAGTGCTAATACGCTACTGCTCAGTTGCGTCACCTAAAAGACGTTCGCCAACTCTACTGAGCATAACTCTGGTTCCTGGCATTTATTTAGCAGTTGCTAATAAAAGTACTAAATAAATGCTCTGTAATGACTATGTGGTAATGTCTCATGTAGATGTACTCACTGTGTGTGAGGTACCATACTTCATGGTCTCACCCATAGGTATTCTAAGGGCAGATTGTATTCAACCTATTAGGCAACTGAGTGGCTCTTTAGGTATCTGTGCATCTAAGTGACATCCTGTTCCACCTTGCTTGAGTCCCTGAAAGCCATCATTTAGAACAGGACTTCATATTAATCTCAAGCACTTAAACCATAAAAGTAGTGAGGAGGTACACCCACATTTTGTCCAATACCTTAGGGTAGGGGACCCTTCTCAGTAATAGGCCACACTTGCCACTTTGTAGCCATACTTCCCACTAAACCAGAGGCTATGGATGAAGCACAGCTGAGAGTATTTTCCCACCCATCTTGTTGAAGATGGAAAAGAATGTAAGATTTATGTATTTAGAAGCTGATCAAGCAAGAAGGAGCTTGACTGTAGCCCAGTGAGGTGGGTCATTCCCTGGAAAGAAAAGAAATCCCAATTTCTGCTCTCAATGAATTTTGCATTAAGGTGTGTGTGTGTGTGTGTGTGTGCGTGCGTGCGTGCGTGCGTGCGTGCGTGCGTGCGCGCACGCGCGCGTGTGGCTATGTAGGCTTAGAGGTCTAGCAGGCAGGATGGGATCTGGGCCTAGGTGTCCACATGTAGATGTAGTGCAGAATAGTAACCTCACTAGCTAACTTTCTGAGCAGTAACTTGCATGGGTAGTTAAGTCCTAATTTCCATTCTTTCAACATTACTGAAAATTAGGTATGGAAATGAAGACTGAAATGATGCTTCCTGTGACATGCTCATATGTAATACCTAGACTGGGATCTCCAGCACTTTCCATACATACCTATTTCCACTTTCCAACATATCTGTTGAAGGCATATGACCCATTTCTTGTGAGCCTGAAAGGAATTATTCTTAATTATGTTTTCAATAACTGCACTTAAAACACTTATAAACTAAGAAAAATATCAGTCTCTTGCTGCCACTGACAGTCCTTGCAACCTCCAGTTCCTTAAATCAATGGTCCTGAAAAAATGATGACTCAGAGTGTTTCCAAAGAACTGAAAGATGTTGTGGTCTGGCATTCTTATGATCAAGTGATCTCCTCAGCTTTTAATGGGAAAAATAAATCATTGATAAAAGATAATCTTGTCACCTGGAAGCAGAAAGGTACAATACCAGTGGCTTCACATACAGAAAGAAAATCCTGTGCAAAGGACTACAGTAAATAAGGTATTTTGTGCTATAGCTGCTATTGCTGGCAAGAATGTCAGCTTTAGGAATTACCTCAGCTTAAGAAATGATAATAAAGGGAAAAAATGATCTAGTTAACTAAAAACAAAGAATGAAATGGATATCAGAGAGACTTTAAAAAAAATCAGAAACTGTCTTTCCCTGTTTCTTCCTATTCCCGATCAATTGATGAAGTTGTCAGTTGTTACCTTGCTCCCCTTTCTCTATTTTCTCCTACTTTTTATTCAATTTCTGATGCTGCAGATAACGTTAACAGCACACAGGCAGGAACCAGAGTTAATGCTTTGCTCTCAGATTTATTCTATTAAAAATAGCTCAATTTTTTTTCCTATGCTGCTTAACTTGCAACAGCAGTGAAACCAGGAGATATTTAATAGATGCACAACACAGAATTTGGAAGGATGGTATGAGATTTAAGGGTGAACTCTAGATGGAGAAATAAAACCCAAAGCACTTTAGCTGAACAAGAATTGATCACATGTTAAACTCCTGGCATTTAAAAGTAGTTTTTAGACTGTTAACCAACAAATGTCTATCGTTGCATTACATTTTCATGGAAAATAAATGACAGGCAGAAGAGAAATAGCATAAGATAAACACTCATATTTAAAGTACTATTTTTCTGGTTTAGTCTAAGGAAAAATAAAGATACATGGACAGAGACATAAAGATACTCACATATAAGGAGAAAGGGAGGGAGGAAGGAAGGGAGGAAGGAAAGAAGGAAGGAAGGAGC